GATGTCTTCACCAAGGCACTTGCGCCTTGTGATCATGAGCGCTTCTGCACCAGCTGGGTCTTGTTCCGTCTTGCCTCACTTGCTCACCTCTTGACCTTGCTTGTGCTGTTACATATATATATACCTGCTCTTGCTTGTCTAGCCTTATATATATATGTACTTCTGCATGTGAACTGGCCTTGTTGCCTTGACCTTGTGCTCGGAATGTGTGGTGACTTTGTGATCCACCCTGAGCTTTGCTTTGTTTTGCTTTGCTTGACTGGTCTTGTGACCCCCTGTTCTCCCCCACTTTGCCTATGGGGGTGTGTCAGAACATTATAGCTTATGCTTTTGTGTAGGCTGTAGTGGGGTATCCCATAGGGGGTACAACCCAATTAGGGTTAGTAATTGTACCCACTTCACTCATACTTCATTCATTCTCGTTCTCACTTTCTCACCGAGAGCGTATGGCCAACATGTAGATGAATTGAATAGGCCGAGGAAAATTGAAGGCTAAAGCGGTAGAGGATTTGCTACACCATGTGTGACTAAGTCAGAGTGATGGTGCACATAACTCAATCCCTAGGTATCTGCAGGCCAAGAAAGCCATGCAGCGTGTTTATGAAGCTCCAATATGCCATCTGTATATCCATGGCTGCTATCCAGTGATAGGCACGAGATTGCCTCAGCGAAGGTGCGTGGGGTCGGGGTCGGGATGTCAAGAGCATTTGGGTCACCCTTAGGGCCTAGCAGCATGGCGCAGAGATAAAGACTAGCGGCGGCACAGAAAGTTATATCAAATCTCTTGTCCTTTATGACGTCATTGCCAATGATATGAATAATTCTACGGAGGATGAACAGGAGCAGAGACCAACTAAGTGGTGTAGTCAATGGCAAGGTGGAGGCAAAGTTAGTGACAGTAGCGACAAGATCAGAGACGAACTGAGAAAGAACCCTAAAGGCGGTGACAAGGGAGGAAAGGACACGAGGGACCGTGGGAAGAGCAATACAGAGGAAGTTAGAAAACAGAGGAGACGAAACAGCAAGAGACATCGGATGAGGCTGTAGAAAGTCACTCTACACCCGAAGTTGGACTACGGAGAAAGCACGAGTTGTGAGTGATCGCAGCGTTCCTTGTCTTCCCTACCACTTGCGAGTTCACGGGGCAAAATGAAAAGAGTTTCTCTTTTATACCAAAAAATGGTTCATAAGGATAGCAGAAACAATGGCAAAACTGACTACATCAGGTGCAAGGGTTCCTAGCACAGGCACGTTGACCTCCAGTGCATCAAAGTCGGCGACCTGTCGTAATTGCAAGTCCGCACCGCTCCAAGGCTGCAGAGTGGCGGCTTGCCAACATAGCAAGTCGGCGGCTTGCCAACGCTACGGCAAGGCGGGGGTCCAACGTTGCATCCGCAGGTGACTGCAGCGCACAATTTTCGCACCTACTTCGCAGGTCCTTCGTCCGACACCAAATCAAAGTCGGCCGCCGACTTCCTATCGTCGGCGGCTTCGCAGTGGCCCCGTGCAAGTCGACCAACTTCGTCGACCTGCTCGTCCAAGTCGGCGTCGCCCACTGCAGACGGTCGGCTGCACCTACCGCACACCCGACCACGAAGTCGGCTCCGCCCAAGCAAGGACGACGGGCCAACTCTCGTTAACAGAGGCGACGGGGTCCATGATGCGGCGGATCATGAAGAGGACAAGAACAGAGGAGCATAGAGAGGAGCTCGGCAAGAGGAGATACATGTCAAGCTCGAGAGGGACGATGGACACAGGTGTGGGAGGCCGGAGACTGGCCAGGAGATAGAAGAGGAGACAGTTTTGAACGGAGACGAAGATGAGAAGGAGACAAGTTCGGAGAAAGAAGCATGGGACCGTAGACTGGAAGAGATGGTGAGGGGGGAGCAGGAGGTCGGCCAGTCGAAAGGGTAAAACATGCGAAGAAGCTCAAGTGTAGATACAGGCGGTGACAGCGGCGGTTGCTGCTGCGGCGGCGGCTGCCCCAAAACAGGTACCCCCTGTGGTAGCACCCCCAGAACCACCACCCCCAGGATCCACAGAGACTCGTGTTGGCAGCAATGGCTGCTGCCACGACTGCGAGGACGACGTCGTGACGGCAGAGACTGCGGGCAGCGGCTGCGACAAAGGGGTCGTCACATAAGGCGCACCTCCACGCCCCACCGCTGTTGCCATCGCTCCCTTGTCAGCATGCTGCCGCCCGTCGGCCCAGTCGGCCCTGCTGCTGTAAGCCTGCCGCTCCTGCCGCGCGTCGAGCCTGCCGCTGCCTGCTCCTACTGCGCCCTCGCCTCCTAACCGCCGTGCCAGTGCCTACCACCATCACGCTTGCTGCGCCAGCTACGTGTCCTCCCGCGCACTGCCGCACATGCGACGCTCGGACTGCACGCCATGTCGCGCCCTGGTGCGCGTCTCTAATACCATGTTAACGAAGGAATGGAATGAGTAGAATGAGAATATACTCGGGGATATACTGTATGTGATTATGTACCCTTTATAGGCCACCTCAACCTAGCCTACAATAGTCCATATCAATATAACGTGTACGTTGGCAACAATCTCCAATTTAACCCTTGACTCTACCATTGTTGCGATCATTCCCCTTCTTTCCTCTTCTCCCCTTTCCCTCTTCCCTCTCACCAAGCCACATTCAGCGCATAGAAGGCCCATGCTTGACTCTCACCCATGTCACCATCCATACATCCAACCCCAAATCCGTGCTGATGATCTCTGTGATTCCCCTTCTTTTCTCTTCTCCCCCATCTTCCCACCCATCCTCCCACTGCTCCACAACATGCCAATCTCAGCGCATAGAATTCCCATGTCTCATACTCACCTTTGTAATCATGGTAGTGGAGTAACACATGAGGTCCCACTTGTATTTCCTTGCCTATATAGTGCCATCTTAAGGGCGGGTCCAAGAATGTACGTATTCGCCGAAAACCCTACCCAACCACTTTGTTCGTTCAAATAGAACTTTCTGGATCAGCGTCAAACCCTGTTCAACCGCATTCAGACGTACTCTCTGGACACGCCCCTAATTAGCACATTCATTAAACACGTAACATAACAAAAAGAATGGTGGGAGTGACTTGCGAGGCGCCTGCGTTGTGAACACCGTGATTTGCTCGTGCTTTGCTGACTTCGCACTCGACTGACCAATGCAACACGCCATGTCGAAAGCAACGTGGCGGGGAATAGTGCCAGCGAGGCAAGTCAGGCGGATTCCACCTCGTCTTGTCGGCAATCCACCTCGCTCGCGCGCTCCCTCCATCTCACTGCCCCATCGCCCGCACGTACTCCTCCGCCCCACCGTGACTCCCTTGGATGTATCTGCCCCAACCCCCACCCTCCTCAGTCCTTCCTCCCCCACCTGTCCCAGACGATCTACCATTTCAGCACGTCCAGTCCAGTTGTAAATTTCTTTAGTCATTCAACATCTACTAGCAACATGCTTGTTCCTGAGGCTCAGCTCCGTTCATCGAACCGCCATTCTAGCATTGCATCTCGCCATAGTGCACGACACCATTCGTTTCACACGCGCGCGACATTGCGCCAGGTGTTTCGTTTCAGCAACCGCCATCATGTGTCAGGGGCCCACCCGCCTCTCGCATTTCACGTTCAAGCGCGTCTCCAAGTGCCCGCCGGGCCGCGCCAGCCATGAGCGCAGCCCTCCAGCTCCGCTCGCTGGCGGAGCTCGTCCTGCCGCCGCGACGAGCTTGCGGAGCTCGTTAGCAGCCGCACCCGCTGCGAAGCGAAGGAGGCTGATCACGATGCGAGGACCCCGCGAGCCGCATGCTCAACCATTCTCCCGCGACAGCGCCCCGGAACAATGGAACCGTGGCAGACGCTCTGACGCAACTAATTCGCTCGAAGAACCCTGCAGGGACACGAGGGCAGATTCACTGCGACACTACGACGAGCGCGGGCACCAGCTCCGACAACCAGTTGAACCGCAGGACCCGCATAGACGACCTTAAGAAGGGCGCGCGCGGATCGACTCACTGGCCGCACTTGTTCCGCCTCTGCCGCGCAGCAGGTAGTGAGCGGCTCAGCCGGTGCTGCGCGGCGCGCCTCGACTCGTCGCGCGGACGGCCTTCCAACGGCCGACCCCCCCGCAGCTGCGGCGCTGGATGCCGTGCGGCTCGCTCGCGAGCCCCTGGGCCCCCCGTGTCACCTTGCCGCCCGCTGCCCTCCGCTCCCCCACGCCCTCGTGTTTGCCTTCCCTTCAGCCGCCTCCCTTCAGCCTGCTAGCCGCGGCTGGGAACGCGCGGGCGTAGCGCAGCCGGGGGTGGTCGAGGCGTTAAAAAAAAATCCAGCAGCGACGGTGGGGAAGCGAGGGAACGGCGGGAGTGCGCCAGTCGCGCCAGCGCTGCGCGCGGAGTCATCGGAGCCATTGGATCCGCCCCCCTGCTCTGGCCCTCGACTGCGAATACCCGCGCCACGCCACCTGCTCCGCCGCCTCCACCTCCGCCGCCTCCACAGCAGCCGTCGTCCCCCCCCATTCCCCCGCCTCACTCCCCGCCACTTGCAGCGTTCCCCCACTGCTTGGCACAGGTGGCGCGCGCACATCGCAGTGCGCATCCCAGGTGGGTGGGGATGGGCGGCAGCAGGGCGGGGTGACGCAGATGAGAAGGCGGGGAACAATCGCGAGGGTGCTGCAGCAGCTGGCGGAGAGGAGGGCTGCGCAGTTGGGGCAGGCGGAGGAAGACAGCAAGGAGGGGCGGGCAGGGCGAGGGCAGGCGTGTGGGACGGTTGACAGCAGGGCAGGGCGGAGAGGGGGGCGATGACAGCAACAACGGCAGTGACGTGCTGGACGAGCCAATCAGCACGCTCCAGGTCCCAGCTGCCGGCTGCTGCTATGGGTTGCACGTGCGGAGAGCAGGGTAGCGGGCGGAGAGGACGCGTCAGAGGCTCTAGTGGACGCGTGGCTGGCGTGCCCTCCGGAGCCCCCTGGCACCAGCATGCCGGCTGCTGCAGCGAGTCCGAGTGCGAGTGAGAGTGAGAGTGTGTGTGTGTGTGCTTGGTGCCCGTCACTAAAGACCGTGGTGGGGAGCGAGGGATGCCTTTGGTGCACGGATGAGGGGCGGGGAGTGGAGGAGTGCAGAGTGTGAGGTGGGCACAGGGGCTTCAACAGGTGAAGCTGGCAGGAGATGGGAGGGACTGGGGGCGGCACGTGGGTGTACGTACGGACCTCATGAGCACACGGTGCGTTGAGGGGCACGCATGGAAGGGGGTTGTAGCGTGCACATGCTCTGCAGGCTGCAGCCATTGCAGTGACGAGCATGTGGGGTGGGGGAGGCAGGCAAGCCAAGGGCTAATGGACCTGCAGTGGTGGTGGCTGGGGCAGGTGCATGGGCAGACACGGGGTGGGAGTGCAAGCGGCAGAGAGAAAGGCAAAGGAAGGAGGCATGTGTGTAGGCAGTGGAAAATGCAGACATAGGGTTGTAGAGGAGCATGTACGGTACTTGTGACAATTGTACTCGTGCCCGTGACGACATGCCATCATGTTGTCTTCAGTCAGTACTATGGAGCCTTGATGCCTTCACGCTGCGGACTAGCAAGCTCTCAATATACCACTGCTTATTTTACACATGCATTCCTACAACCTTTGCTGCATGACCATGAAAACACTGCACTTTGATTTAGCATAACACACCCGATAGATATGGTGCACTCAAACAGCAATGTTAGGTTAGGCGTGAAGCACACGAGGCAGTGCTGAGAGAGCACGGACGGGGGGAGGGAGGGTGGTCATCCGAAGCCGGCCATGCGTGCATCCCGGGGCGTGTCGGGCACCTGCACAAAGGGATGCTGCAGCAGCTGCACCACAGCAGAGGGGGAATAGAAGCGGCGGATGGCTAGTGAGGAGGGGTGATGATGGAGCTAGCTTGCTGTTTCAGGCAGGCTTGAGAAAGGAATGAATAGATTGGGGGTGCATCTGGTGTCCCAAGCCTGCCCCAGGCAACTGTGTGGCAATGCGTGGTGCAACTTTGTGAGGCATGAGGCACACCAGCAGACATGAGGCACACCAGCAGCACGCCCTGCAGCAACAGCCTTGTTACAACACACGCACTTGTACATTCTCTAACGCCTTTCAGGTGCAAGGCACACCCGAGTAACAGAAGCACCCACCTGGGCAGCAGAGGCACTGACCTGGGCGGCGGAGGGCGGAGGGCGGGGTCGAGCTGGAAGCAGGCAGCGAGGAAGTCACGGCCCTCCTCACTGCTCTCCTCGGGGTGGGCGGGCCCGTGGTGGTCTTGGCTATGTGGAATATGGCCGACCACGTGTTGTCCATGCCCGGCCATGGGTGGCTGCACCGGGGCAGGGGAGGAACAGAGGCATGCATGCATGTGCCATGCCGTGCACAGGGACAGGATGAGAGTGGCGCACAGGCATACGGGTTGAGGGTGGCACACAATCACACACCTTCCACCACAAGCATCACACAAAAGAAGCACATTGTGCATGCAGAGAGCTCAAACTCCCAGGTCAGCAGTGATCCAGCTCCATGCACGCGCTGCACATGGCTCCACCGGGCGCTCCCTTGGACTCGGATGCTGGTTGCGTGCGGGCGGCACACACACCCATTCAGCAGAGTGTCGCCCCCTCACAACCCATTGCCATTGTCACCTTCAATGACGGTGCAGCCCTGACCTGCCGGTGAGCATCTCAATGACGGTGCAGCCGAGGCTCCAGATGTCTGCCTTGCGGCCGTACCCCGCACCCGTGATCACCTCGGGTGCCATCCAGAACACCGACCCGCGGATTCGACTTGCACCCCTCGCCCACCGTCCCCTCCTGAAACGCCTGCACGCAGGGGAGAAGGGGGGGTGTGGGGAGAGGAAGAAGGATAAGACTTGAGCGGAAATGGTAGTGGATAGTGCAGACTGTTGTGAGAAACGGAAGAGGGTACGCCGTGGAACATATTGAAGGCAGGCACAAACCACAGATGATGGGTAGAAGAGAGCACGCATGCAGGAGTCGATGTGGGTGGTGGGGAGAGGCGCACACCTTGGAGGCCCCAAAGTCAGCGAGCTTGATGACCCCATCGCGGTCCACGAGCACGTTGCCGCCCTTGATGTCGCGGTGGATGATCTTGCAGCGGTGCAGATACTCCAAGCCCAGCAGCAGCTGGCGCGTGTACACGCGCACCAGCGACTCGCTGAACTTGCCAAACTTCTCCAACATGCTGCCACGCTCCAGCGATGATGCCGCGGCACACACGGGACAGGGGGACGGGAGAGGATAGGACAGGAGAAAGTGAGGATGCGCAGTGATACATAAAGGAGCACTGGAGATGCACACAGATACAAGATGCAGCCCCACCTGTGAATGGAGCCCCCTTCTTAAAGCCCACTTGTGGATGCAGCCGCCCTCTTAAAGCCAACCTGTGGATGGAGCCACCCTCTTAAAGCCCACCTGTGGATGGAGTCCTTCTCTTAAAGCCCACCTGTGGATGGAGCCGCCCTCTTAAAGCCCACCTGTGGATGGAGTCCTTCTCTTAAAGCCCACCTGTGGATGGAGCCGCCCTCTTAAAGCCCACCTGTGGATGGAGTCCTTCTCTTAAAGCCCACCTGTGGATGGAGCCGCCCTCTTAAAGCCCACCTGTGGATGGAGTCCTTCTCTTAAAGCCCACCTGTCGATGGAGTCCTTCTCTTAAAGCCCACCTGTGGATGGAGCCGCCGGAGACGAATTCGAGGAAGATGTAGATGGAGCCGTCGGAGGGGTCCTTCTCCATGTCGATGTACCCCACTATGTGGCGGTGCCGCATGCGGCGGTACAGCACGATCTCGCGCTCCAAGGCTGCGATGTGCATGGCGCGCTCGTCGCCCGCGTTGATCTTCATCTGCTTCACCGCCATCAGCTCGCCCGTGCGCTCGTTCAGCCCCAGAAACACCTGCCCCGCCCCACGGGGGGTGTGGGGATGACGGGAGGGGGAAGGAGTGAGGCAGGAGCATGAGAGAACGCAACGGGAATGGGGGGAGGTGGCAAGGGGGGAAAAAACGCGGCAGTGTGGAGCGGCAGGTGGGAAGCAGCGTGATGGCGCGGCGTGGTCCACCTTGCTGTACGCGCCTTCACCCAGCAGCTCACCTTGCCGTATGCCTATGTTAGGAAAGACGCGTCCTGCGTCCTGGGACGAATGCGTCCAGACGCAGGACGCGTCACCTGGACCTGTAAGACGCACCAAAGACGCAATCTCGGGCAGGGCAAAAAAAACCCCCGGGCAGGCCCAAAAAAAGTGTTTAGGTCTTGGCAGAGGGGAGGGGGGGGGACGTACCACACTTTTCAATGCAATTTTTACCCCCAACCTCAATTTTTTCCCCCAAAATTTTTTACTAAGGTGAGTCACGCGTCACGCATGGGTTGTGAGTGAATTCTCAATTTGCATGAGTTGTTATGAAATGTTGGGGGGGGCTGGTTTACAATGGCGCATTGGGCTTTGGGGGTCGAAATTTCGGGATTTCGACATTCGCGCCGAGATCGCGAATGTCGAAATCGCGGAAAACTTTTTTTTTCGGGCTGCCCGAATTTTTTTTCACCGTGCGTCCTGCGTCCTAGCGTCCGGACGCTGCGTCCAGACGCTAGGACGCAGCGTCCTGGCTGCGTCTTTCCTAACATAGCCGTATGCGCCTTCACCAAGCAGCTCACCTTGCCGTACGCCCCTTCACCAGCAGCTCACCTTGCCGTACGCCCCTTCACCCAGCAGCTCACCTTGCCGTACGCCCCTTCACCAGCAGCTCACCTTGCCGTACGCCCCTTCACCCAGCAGATCACCTTGCCGTACACCCCTTCACCCAGCAGCTCACCTTGCCGTACGCGCCTTCACCAGCAGCTCACCTTGCCGTACGCCCCTTCACCAGCAGCTAACGTTGCCGTACGCCCCTTCACCAGCAGCTCACCTTGCCGTACGCCCTTCACCCAGCAGCTCACCTTGCCGTACGCCCCTTCACCAGCAGCTCACCTTGCCGTACGCCCCTTCACCAGCAGCTCACCTTGCCGTACGCCCCTTCACCCAGCAGCTCACCTTGCCGTACGCCCCTTCACCCAGCAGCTCACCTTGCCGTAACCGCCTTCGCCCAGCAGCTCACCTTGCCGTACGCGCCTTCACCCAGCAGCTCACCTTGCCGTACGCCCCTTCACCCAGCAGCTCACCTTGCCGTACGCCCCTTCACCCAGCAGCTCACCTTGCCGTAACCGCCTTCGCCCAGCAGCTCACCTTGCCGTACGCCCCTTCACCCAGCAGCTCACCTTGCCGTACGCCCCTTCACCCAGCAGCTCACCTTGCCATACGCGCCTTCACCCAGCAGCTCACCTTGCCGTACGCCCTTCACCCAGCAGCTCACCTTGCCGTACGCGCCTTCACCCAGCAGCTCACCTTGCCGTACGCGCCTTCACCCAGCAGCTCACGTTGCCGTACGCGCCTTCACCCAGCAGCTCACCTTGCCGTACGCGCCTTCACCTAGCAGCTCACCTTGCCGTACGCGCCTTCACCCAGCAGCTCACCTTGCCGTACGCGCCTTCACCCAGCAGCTCACCTTGCCGTACGCGCCTTCACCCAGCAGCTCACCTTGCCGTACGCGCCTTCACCCAGCAGCTCACCTTGCCGTACGCCCCTTCACCCAGCAGCTCACCTTGCCGTACGCGCCTTCACCCAGCAGCTCACCTTGCCGTACGCGCCTTCACCCAGCAGCTCACCTTGCCGTACGCGCCTTCACCTAGCAGCTCACCTTGCCGTACGCGCCTTCACCCAGCAGCTCACCTTGCCGTACGCGCCTTCACCCAGCAGCTCACCTTGCCGTACGCGCCTTCACCCAGCAGCTCACCTTGCCGTACGCGCCTTCACCCAGCAGCTCACCTTGCCGTACGCCCCTTCACCCAGCAGCTCACCTTGCCGTACGCGCCTTCACCCAGCAGCTCACCTTGCCGTACGCGCCTTCACCCAGCAGCTCACCTTGCCGTACGCGCCTTCACCCAGCAGCTCACCTTGCCGTACGCGCCTTTACCCAGCAGGTCACCTTGCCGTACGCGCCTTCACCCAGCAGCTCACCTTGCCGTACGCGCCTTCACCCAGCAGCTCACCTTGCCGTACGCGCCTTCACCCAGCAGCTCACGTTGCCGTACGCGCCTTCACCCAGCAGCTCACCTTGCCGTACGCGCCTTCACCTAGCAGCTCACCTTGCCGTACGCGCCTTCACCCAGCAGCTCACCTTGCCGTACGCGCCTTCACCCAGCAGCTCACCTTGCCGTACGCGCCTTCACCCAGCAGCTCACCTTGCCGTACGCGCCTTCACCCAGCAGCTCACCTTGCCGTACGCCCCTTCACCCAGCAGCTCACCTTGCCGTACGCGCCTTCACCCAGCAGCTCACGTTGCCGTACGCGCCTTCACCCAGCAGCTCACCTTGCCGTACGCCCCTTCACCCAGCAGCTCACCTTGCTGTACGCGCCTTCACCCAGCAGCTCACCTTGCCGTATGCGCCTTCACCCAGCAGCTCACCTTGCCGTACGCCCCTTCACCAGCAGCTCACCTTGCCGTACGCCCCTTCACCCAGCAGCTCACCTTGCCGTACGCCCCTTCACCCAGCAGCTCACCTTGCCGTACGCCCCTTCACCAGCAGCTCACCTTGCCGTACGCCCCTTCACCCAGCAGCTCACCTTGCTGTACGCCCCTTCACCAGCAGCTCACCTTGCCGTACGCCCCTTCGCCCAGCAGCTCACCTTGCCGTACGCCCCTTCACCCAGCAGCTCACCTTGCCGTACGCCCCTTCACCCAGCAGCTCACCTTGCCGTACGCCCCTTCACCCAGCAGCTCACCTTGCCGTACGCGCCTTCACCCAGCAGCTCACCTTGCCGTACGCGCCTTCACCCAGCAGCTCACCTTGCCGTACGCGCCTTCACCTAGCAGCTCACCTTGCCGTACGCGCCTTCACCCAGCAGCTCACCTTGCCATACGCCCCTTCACCCAGCAGCTCACCTTGCCGTACGCGCCTTCACCCAGCAGCTCACCTTGCCGTACGCGCCTTCACCCAGCAGCTCACCTTGCCGTACGCGCCTTCACCCAGCAGCTCACCTTGCCGTACGCGCCTTCACCCAGCAGCTCACCTTGCCGTACGCCCCTTCACCCAGCAGCTCACCTTGCCGTACGCCCCTTCACCCAGCAGCTCACCTTGCCGTACGCGCCTTCACCCAGCAGCTCACCTTGCCGTACGCGCCTTCACCCAGCAGTTCGCCGCGCTTCCACTTCATGGTGCCCAGCGGGGACACCTCGGGGTCGTCCTGCAGCAGCTCCTCCGGCAACGCCTCGTCCTCCTCCTCCTCCCCACCCTGCCCCCCTGCCTCTTTCTGCCCCGCCTTATCCTGCTTCTCCTGCTCCTTCCCCCCGCCTTTCTCCTTGCCCTCCTTGCTCCCTCCCGCCTTTACATCATCCCCCATGCCTGACTTCGGCGCAGCACCTCTGTTCTCGGGCCGGGTCTTGCACTCGCACTGCACCTGCCCGCACGCCACACACCCGTTCCTGGCAGCGTCATCCCGCCAGTCGGCGCGGATGAGCTTCAGGTCCTCCTCGGACACCGATGCCGCACCCATCTTCCTGCCAGCACCAGCTGACGACGGCGGCACAAACGACTGGCACTTGCGATCGCTGCGCTCCTTTCTCTCAGCCCTCTCGCTTGCGTCCTTGCCTTTCCCCCTGCCCTCGCTCGCACCTCCCTCGTCCAAGCCACTGCTCCCGGGTCTGCCCCCGGTCGCGGTCGCGGTCGCCCCCCTCGGGCACGGCGAACTTCACGGACCTGCGCTCGCGGCCCCCCCGCGGAGTCATGCGCCCCCCGCCAACGCCGCCGCCACTGATGCTGCCGCCTCCTCCCCCAGCCGTTGCACCCGATGGGGAGCCGGCCCACCGGTGGGGGTGCGCGGGCTGCTGTCGTCGTCACATGGCGCTGCCTGTGCGCCCCTCAGCGGACTCCTCGGCCTCGCACTGCCTGCACTGCCTGCGCCCCCGCGCCTGCCCGAATCCTCCTCGCCGCCCGCACTGCTGCCGGGGCTGCCGGCGCGCTGCCCGGCGCCATCAGCCACGCGCAGCGAGGAGAAGCGACGGGAGAAGTCGGAGGGGGGAGGGGAGCGCGAGGGCGTGGAGGGGCCGCCCCCCGCTGCAGCCTTGATGGCGCGCGACCGCCGGCTCACCACCTCGCTGTCACTGTCCGCACTGCCACTGTCCCTCACCTGCCTCAAATGCGCTGCCCCTTTCCCCCCTCCCCCCTTACCCCCGCTCCCCATCCCCTCCCCCTGCCGTTCTTCTGAGCTGACTGACCGGTGTGGCTGCCTGTCCCCGCCACTGCCCGCGCCCCCCCCGCTCCTGTCCGCCAGGGAGCCTCTGTCTGGCAGGGCGCCGCCGTTCCAGGAGGCATAGGGGTTGTCGCGCACGGCCCGCGGGGTGGACGCCCCCCGCCTCTCCACGCCACTGCCCCCCGGCCCCACGCGCCCTCCCATCCCCTTCTCTCGCTGCCCTCCCCCCCCCCCCTCCCCCTCCCCCTCCCCCTCCCCCTGCCGCCCTCTCCTCCACGTCATCATCCGACCCCACTCGCTCAGCGCCCACCCTCCTGGGCGTGGATGCCCCCCCGGCTCCTCCCCCCCCTCCTGCCCTCCCGCCCCCCTCCCCTCCTCTTGGCGTCCCTGCCCCGCCCCTGGGGGTGCTGGGTCCCCCTCCCCCGGCGCCCCCTGCCCCGCCACCCACAAGTCGCTCCGCGCGGAAGTCTGCAAAGTTGCGGGGGCGGGCGAGGCGGGACACCTCGCCGCGGGCGCCGGCGCTGAGGGAGGCGGCAGCGGGGGCGTGGCGGGTGCGGGGGCCAGAGCCACCCTCGGCGTCCGACATGCTGCTGGCGTCCCCTGCTGCCGCCACGATGCGGCGCTGGTAGTGCGCGCCCCCCGACTCCACCGACAGCGTGCGTGCCGCGTCCCTCACGTGCATCTGCACCTGCCGCCGCGCCACCGCTGCCGTCGGCGCTGCTTCCTCCCCTTCCGCGCCTCCGCCCCTCCCACCCGTGCTGCTGCTACTGCTGGGCGGGGTGGTGGCGGAGGGGGCGGCAGGCGAGGAGGCGGGGGGCGAGGGCGAGGGCCAGGGGAGAGCGGGCGAGTCGTCGTGGCGGTCGTTCTCCCACGCCTGCTGGAAGATCTGCTCGTTGCTCTCCACCATCTCCTGTGGACTCTCATACCCCTCCTCCCCTCGTCCCCCCCGCCGTGCCTCCTTCTCACTGCCCCCCCCGCTGCCCCACTCATCCCCGCGCCCCCCCCACCGGTCGCCCGCCAAGCGCCCGCGCATGCTGCCCGCGCCGCCCCCAGTGGCGGCCTCGACAGCAGCGGAGGCGGCGGCCCTCATGCGCGCCATGCCGGCGCGTGGGGACGCCACTCGGTGCGACGCCACACCGTTTACGCCTGGAGGGGGTGGGGGGGTGAGGAGGAGGGCGGGGCACGGATGGGCACAAAGGGACGGGGCATGACGCGCTGTGAGACAGTGTGAAGCACAGCAGCGGCAGCGAGTGGTGATGGTTCGTGCCCGAGGGGAGTGGAGCGAGAGCAGGGAAGGGGAGTGGAGCGAGAGCAGGGAAGGGGAGTGGAGCGAGAGCAGGGAAGGGGAGTGGAGCGAGAGCAGGGAAGGGGAGTGGAGCGAGAGCAGGGAAGGGGAGTGGAGCGAGAGCAGGGAAGGGGAGTGGAGCGAGAGCAGGGAAGGGGAGGCACACCTTGGTCGTCCCACGAGTCGTCCCCCAGCAGCCCCCCCTCATGCGGGCTGCGCCGGTCCATGCCGCCAGGGCTGGCAGGGGGGGACGCGGCCATGGCAGCAGCGGGCGTGGCGGAGGAGGCGAGGTGAGCATGGGGGGGCAGGAGGCCGTGGCGGTGGTGGTAGTCGTGCAGCTTGGAGAAGAGCGCTCGGATGCGGTCCGTGGACGCCAGCTGCTGCGGCAGCAGCCCGTCGCTGTTGCGCGCATACATGTTGGCGCCCGCCACCAGCAGCAGCTTTATCATGCCCCTGCCGCCAGAAAAGGGTGGGCAGAAGCAGCAGGTGGGAGCAAGGACTCAGAATGCGAGCAGGTCAAGGCGGGCATAGCGCATGAGAGTGTTTTCGAACCAGCCCCTGAGGAGTTGTGATGAATAGAACAACAGACTGGCAGATGATAGCAATACACGTGGCACATCCACCACATGTGGTACATAAAAAACACATAGCTCATTGAGTCATATTGCAACCCGGAGCATCAGAGATGGAGAGGTGGCAAAGGGGTGAGAGGCAGGATGGGACTGATGAGATGGGACAGGGTGTGGCGAGGGGGGAGGTGGAGGAGGGGTACCGGTGGGCGTCAGCGCATGCGTAGTGCAGCGCGGTGCAGAGCTGCGCGTCGTGAGCGTTGATGTCGGCGCCGTGTGACAGCAGCAGCGTCACCGCCTTCTCACTGCCCGCCTGCACCGCCAGCAGTATGGGCGGCATCTGCCCACGCCCAAGGGGGAGTGGGGGGAGCAAAGAAAATGGGGTAGGCAAGGCAAGGACAGCGAAAAGTGAGAACTTAAAATACAAGTACGCATGAAAGCTCTTTGGGGGCTCGGAAAGAACGGACCGACTGCTCCACCCACCTGCGACGCGTGCCCGCCATCGGGGTCGGCCCCCCACTCCAGCAGCGCAGCAGCGGCGTCCACGCTGCCCGCCACCACCGCCTCGTGCAGCGCCGCCCGCCCCGTGCCTGCACGGGGGGCATGGCGTGGGGAATGGGCCAGGCACGTGGGACGCGAATGAGGAGACGCAGCGAGGTAGACGAGTCGTGGAGGAGGGGGGAGCGAATGGTGGATAACATGTGCGAAAAGAGCAGAAAGGGAGGGTAACAGTGAGGAGGGAAAAGTAAGGCAGGGTACGTTGAGGATGGGGGATGAGAGACGCGGCGTACCAGGGTGCGCGCAGTGCAGCAGCGCGGTGCGCGACGGCGCGTCCTGCAGGATGCGGTTGACGCGCGCCACGTCGTCGTCCCGCACCGCCTCCAGCAGCGCCAGCACGCCGCGCAGCACCTCCGCCTCGCCGCGCGACGACGCCTGATAGCTGCCCGTCGGCGCCCCCCCCATGCCCATGCCCGAGAGCATGGCGGGGCGGGCGGGCTTGGGCACGCGGCGGGGACTCATCACCTCTTGCGGTGAGTGCGCGGCGCCGTCAGTGCCGCCCGCATAGTTGGGTAGCGACGAGAACTGCGCGACGGGGCAAGCAGGAGAGGGGAACGGAGGGGTTGCGAGGGAGGTGGGGGAGACGCAAAGGACGCGAGGCACAGGCGGGCGGGTGCTTGGCTTCACGCGTCCATGCAGCGCGTTGCGCCTCACGACGCCGTCGCTTGGTTAGGGGGCGCGCCGCAGAGCAATCCATCGGGCGCCGCGAACCGACAAACCGAGGGAAAATGAGAATGGGAAAATTTGAGCAAAATTTGACTGGCGAGGGGGGAGGGGACAATCGACAAGCGCGAGAAAATTGGTTCGTCGCAACACCTACCCGATGAGGCACCGCCGTGGGCTACATGACGGCTCCCCACCCACTGCCCTACTTCGCACCTTGCGCACTTGTTTCGCCTCGCCACCTCGTCGCGGGTCGCCCCGCTCGTGGCGCCCTCTGTCCGCCTCGCTATCCCCAATGGCATCCGACCGCACGTGCCCCGAGCTCATCCCCGCACCCAGCGCCGCGCCCATGCTGGAGCGCAGCGGCGACGTGCTCAAGCCAGTTGCCTGGTACCCCGCGGCGGACGGCGACGGGGCGGGGCGCGTCGCGCGGCCCCTCGCTGCGATAAATAGTCGGAAGCGAAGTCGTTGGCGTCAAGGTAGTCGTGGGGGTATTCCTGCGCGTACTCCTCGGGATACTCGTGCGCGTACTCCTCGGGGTACTGGTCAGGGTACTCGTCCGCGTCCAGCACCTGCGCCGCCATCTGCTGCCCCTCATTCACGCGAATTAACGGCCGGCTCCCCGCCCGCCGCCTCTGCTGTCCCGCTCCGTACTCCCCTTCTCCCCCTGCCCCTCCCCCTACCCCATTGGACCCGGCATTTCGAGGCGAAAGCATATGGTCGTCGAAAGCAGGGCTACGCCCCCCACGTGGAGTGGTGGCCGCCGGGCCTGGGTGTCCGGGTCCGCGATGGCGATTCACCACGCGAGGCGGACTGCCCTCACCGTCGCTCACGGCGCGCGTCATGGTCAGTTACAGAAGGAAAACGCCGCATCGCAATGTGAGCCCGCAACTTAATCGACTTTGCAGACATCGCTCTACCTAACGGGTCTGACCTCTGGTGACCTGTGGTCCGACCAAGTCTATCAGCCATAAATGGATTGGCGAGCTAAAAGTTGGATGGGTGTATCAAACCCTAGCTGGCGAGAAGTGCATCCAGGCAATCCCGAGGGCAGGGGACGAATTTGCCATCTTGAAGTTGGCTCGGTAACCTGCAATATGCTACCTGCAAATCTAAAAGATAACATATTCTAGTCGAATTTCATAAACTGGACCTAGTTCAAACTACCTCAACCCTAGTTCAAATCTATCCGTTTCTTGTCAAATCTCCTTAACATCACTTTTTGCAAACGTTCACAGCAAAGCTATCGTGTTGGAAGGAAAAATACAAATATTAAGGATAACCCTAACAGAATCATCTTATTCTACCAGCAATCCCTCCACATAATTCTTTGTCAAAACACATTATGTTTATAATATAGACTGGAGTGGGATAGTCCATAGAGGGTACAACTCATTAGGGTTACTTGTACCGTACTCCCCATTGCTAGTTATGGCGGGTTTTAAGCGGTTGAAGACCTCGCGTGTTGAGAATGAACTATGAATGAAGTGAGTACAAATAGGAAACCCTAATTGGGTTGTACCCCCTATGGGATACCCCACTATAGCCTACACAATAGCATAAGCTATAAAGATCTGACACACCCCCATAGGCAAAATGGGGGAGAACAAGGGGTCACAAGACCAGTCAAGCAAAGCAAAGCAAAGCTCAGGGTGGATCACAAAGTCACCACACATTCTGAGCACAAGTTCAAGGCCAGAAGGCCAGTTCACATGCAGGAGCATATATATAAGAAGCTAAGTAAGCAAGAGCAAGAGTATATATACCGTCATACCCCGGATATACCCCCATGGGGGGCAATAATAAAACAGGTTTTTTTTAGGGGGGTGGGCTTATAATCGGGTAACTTTATAAGCGCCGGCGTTTATAAAACGACATATATAGTTTATATATTTTTTAACACCAACCTGTAGTTCTCGTGCTTGCATTTTCAACCGAGCCGAAGTTACATGGGGTCGTCTGTGAAATTCTCGCGCGCACTGGGAGATACACCAAATCTGACAGCTCCTGACAGCTTCTGACAGCTTCTGACAGCTCCTAACAGCTCCTGCTGACTGGACCCGCATCCAGTGCAGGGTCCGATTTTGAAGGGAACCGAATCTGGAGACATCCGCTTGCTAAAGTAAAATTCGTTACAGGGTTTTGAACCCATTTCAAGAATTAAAGTTTACGTGCGCTTATAATAAAACAGGTTTTTTTCAGGGGGTGCGCTTATAATCTAGCAGCGGATATAAGCGCCATGCGCCAATTAAAAGCGCCAGGCGCTTATCCGAGGGTGGGGCTTATATCCGGGGTATGACGGTATATGACAGTACAAGCAAAGTCAAGAAGTGAGCAAGTGAGACAAGACACGAACAAGTCCAAGCTGAGTACAGAAGCGCTGATGATCACAAGGCGCAAGTGCCTTGGTGAAAACATCAGCAGTGTTGGCCTCAGAGGCCACGTACGCAAGCCGCAACTGACCACACTGCTGTAGCTCACGAGCAAGGAAGTAGCGGAGAGCAATGTGCTTCGTTCTGTGCTCCAGTCGCTGCTCTCGACACAAGGCCAGCATGGCCTTGTTGTCTACGTACAGAACTGGAGGAGAACGAGGCGGCTCTCCAAGGTCGGTCAGCAGGTAGGTGAGCCAGCGAAGCTCCTGTGCAGCCATGGCCCCAGCGTAGATCTCACCCTCACAACTGGAGCCGAGAACAGAAGACGAGCGAGTAGCCCGCCACGAGACAGAGCCGGAACCAAGGTTGAAGGTGTAACCCTGTGACGACCGCTGAGTAGCCTGGTCGTCAGCCCATGAAGCATCTGCGTGCCCAGTGAGGACCACTGGACTGCGCCCTCCAAGCACTAGCCCCATGCCCGACGTACTGCACAAGTAGCGCAACACCCTCTTCGCTGCAGCCATGTGCTCTGGTCGGTGTCTCCCAGGAGCAACATAGCGTGTGAGAATGCTAAGAGGGTATGCAAGGTCAGGTCGTGTGCAGGTCATCAGGTAAATGAGGCAGCCAACAAGCTCTGGATACGGGCCACTCGACTCTACGGACTCATCCGAAGGCAGAGCTGAGAGTGAGTGGCGAGTAGGCAGAGGAGTGGCCTGAGGCGAGGAGTACGTGAAGCCGAAGCGCTGAAGGACCTGCTGCACCATGTGTGACTGAGTCAGGGTAATGGTGCGCTGTGCTCTGTCTCGAGTGATCTGCAAGCCAAGGTAGCTGCGCAGTTCCCCCAGGTCTGTGCACGTGTGTCTCTTCTGCAGCTCGGACTTCACTTGGGCGAGTCCAGCAGTGTCAGCTGTGGCAAAGACCAAGTCGTCGACGTACACGAGGATGTAGAAGGGCGGCAGAGAGGTGTCGGTGCGCAGGAACAGTGACGGGTCGGCTGTAGAAGGAGCAAACCCAAGAGCCGCAAGAGTAGTCCTCAGTGTGTCGTGCCAGTCACGGGGCGCCTGGCGGAGACCGTAAACTGGACGCCGGAGGCTCCACTGGGTACCAAGAGGGAACGACCCAGTGAAGCCAGGTGGGCGACGCAGCCAGATCTCCTCGTGCAGGCTGCCCTGCAAGAAAGCTCTGCTGAAGTCGAGGGAGTGCAGCTTGTAGTCACGGTGAGCGGCAACGTGCAGTAGCACCCGAAGAGTGGTCATCTTCGGGGGTGGGAGAGAAGGTCTGAAAGTAGTCAACTCCCTGCCGCTGACTGAAGCCACGAGCCACGTACCGTGCCTTGAAGACAGGCGGAGAACCCGGTGGCCGCTTCACCCTGAAAATCCACATGCCACTGACGATGTTCGCCCCAGGAGGGGGGACAGCATCAACGTAGGTGCCTGTGGACTTCCAGGACGCCATCTCTGCATCCATAGCTGCCTGCCACTGAGAAGAGTAGGGATCCTCTATCGCCTCCGCGTAAGAGCGCGGAGTCGGGATGTCAAGTGCATCCAGGTCTCCCTCAGGAGTAAGCAGTACGGACACGAGGTGGGGTGAAACAACGGCCAAGCACTGGAACTCCTCCTGCCTGTCCTCAAGGACGTCCGTGCCAAGAGCACACTCACCCCCGACGGACGGAGGACAGACAGACTCAGACTCAGCGAGAAGACTAGCAGCGTAGTCTAGACGACAGCGAGCAGCAAAGTCGACGAGCTCAGCAACGAGGGCAGACGCAGCAGTGGACTCGAAAGAAGGGTTAGTGACGACAGTAGCAAGGAGGCGCGTGACAGTAGGACGGACAGCACGAAGAGAGTCCGACTCCGGGTCGGCAAGAGAAGGAAGAGAGGACGCAGGAGGAGAAGGTAAAGGGGCACGCAGAGGAGCAGTGGACGGACGCAGAGACATCTGGTGCGTGCCAGGGACAGGAGGAGGACGCTGACGCGAGCCGCGACCACTAGGGCGAGCAGCACGAACAGGCGACGCAGGACGAGACGCGGGCTCACGACGCTCAGCAAGACCTCCAGTAGGACCAGTGTAGGGAGAGGGAGCAGGGAGAGGGGAGGCAGGCTGTAAGTGTAGCTGTGACTGGACAGGCTGTGGACACTCTAAAGAAGGAGGAGGACCCGTAGAAGGTGGAAGACCAAGAACCTGCTGCAGGAGTGGAACAAAGTACGGTCGAGGCCGCGCGGCGACGCCAGACACAGCAGGGACAGCACCAGTACCCCAGAAGGAGCACCCGCTCCAGCAGCACCTCCAGCAGCTCCAGAACCTCCAGCAGCACCAGTAGTACCCCCAGCAGGACCGCGGGAAGGAGGCTCAGCACCAACGCCCGCAGCAGCACCAGCTCCAGTCGAACCCGCAGGCCCAGCAGCTCCAGTACTCCCAGCACAAGCACCTCCGGGACCCGCGGCACCAGCACCCACAGCAGTCGAAGAAACTCCTGCTCCAGCAGCACGCCTCCAGCGCCGTGCAAACCACTCGCGCAGCTCCGGGGGAGAAAGTGGCTCCCGGCGAGACGAAGCCCCCGGAGGACCTCCAGGCGTAGCACCTCCAGGCTCAGCACCCGTAGTCGCAGCACCCCCAGGCTCAGCACCCTCAGGCTCAGCACCCCCAGTCGTAGCACCCCTAGGCTCAGCACCACCAGGCTCAGCACCACCAGGCTCAGCACCCCCAGTCGCAGTACCCCCAAGCTCAGCACCCCCAGTCGCAGCACCCCCAGGCTCAGCACCCCCAGTCTCAGCACCCCCAGTCACAGCACCCCCAGGCTCAGCACCCTCAGCAGTACCAGAGTTACCAGTAACCTCGACAGGCTCGACTGCGTCTACCTGGGACACACCTGAAGGGGCAGGACCCTGAGGGGGGAGGGGGTCGACCGGGGGGGGACCTGGTACAAGGAAGAGCGGGGGCGGGGGGAGGGACGGAGTGCGGTAGGGGAAGAGGCGGTAGTAGGGGACCGACTCGTCGAACGTGACGTCCTGGGAGGACAGAACACGGCGAGAGGTGGGGTGGTAGAACTGCCACCCAGGCGCGTCAGGGGGGAGCCCCAGGAAGACGCAAGGAGTAGCACGAGGGGACAGCTTGTCCGCAGACAAGTCGCGGACAAACGCCCGAGATCCCCAGACCCGGAACGCCGACGCATCGCCAACCTTCCCCGTCCACAGCAGGGCTGGGGAGGTCTCCGGCATGGAGACCCTGGGGTGAAGGTTGATCTGATGCGCCGCGTACCTGACCGCAAACGGCCACAAAAAATGGGGGGCAGCCGCATGCATCATGGACGTACGAGCGACGTCCATGACCATGCCAATGCGGCGCTCAGCAATCCCATTTTGCTGCGGTGAGTCCGAAAGCGTGAAGGTCTGACGGATGCCTCGTGCACGACAGCAGGCTCGCAGAAGACCAGAGGAAAACTCTCCGCCTCTGTCCGAGTGCAGACGCAGAACAGGAAAGTCCGAGCCAAAGCTCTGCCTGAGCTGGAGACGAGCTGCGCGGATCCAGTCGATCAGCACCTCAGTGAAATCACCCTTGCTGCGCAAGGGGAAGACTGTGGTGTAACGCCAGTAGTCGTCAACAACGAGCAGGAAGTAGCGCTCGTGACCCTGTCCACGGACGCGGGCTGGGCCCCACACGTCCATTTGAAGCGTTTGCAACGGGGCCTCTGTCGGAGGAAACTGGGAGGAGTGAGGGGCAGCACGCTGGCGCCCCTCGACACAAGGGACACAGGCAGGGCCAGGGCCCTGAGGAAGGGGAGGGAGGGACCGGGGCAGACCAGACACAAGAAGACGGGAGGCCATGCCTCTGAGCCGAAGCAGAGAGGGGTGACCAAGACGGTGGTGCCAGAGGAGAGTCTCGTGAGACAGGAGACGACACGAACAGGGGGCAGACTCAGGACCAGACCTGGACGCTGCAGCAAACACCTGACCCGACGCAGCTACCCTACCAGACGCAGCAACGGGAGGAGACGCAGTGGTCAGTGTGTACAGGCTCGACCTCGGCTGACGGGTAAACGTAGACAGGTGTCGGCCTGTGCGACCGTCGGTGCAGTGCGTCACCCGCTGGCGCGCAGGAGTGAACTGGTGGACACCCGCATCCTGTAGGTCAGCACCACTCACCAGGTTCGTAGAGAACGAGGGGAGGTAGAGACCAGACAGGGTGCCAGAGGGAGCCGCCGGACACGGGAGGACTGTAGAGAAGCGCGACAGGACAGGACCCCCAGAGGGGTCAGCTAGAGACACCGCAACCGGCCGACTAAGCGGCGTGAGTGTGGTGCGGTCCCGAAAGAAGGAGCGAGAAGCCCCAGAGTCAAGGGTGAAGGTGAGGGAGGCCGAAGCCGACGTAGTACCTGAGAGCGCAGACTCACTAGTACCTGAGGGCGCAGACGCACTGGCACCTAGAGGAGCAGCCTCACCGGCACCTGGAGCAGCAGTACCAATGCCCGGGTCGGGCGGGAAACACCGGTAACAGTCACCGTCATCACTAATAGTCACAGCATACATTGCAGCAAGGATAGCATCAAAGTCAAGATCAAGGATAGCTACTCCTGCCCTAGACAGCTCTCCCCAACGAGGGATCTCACTGGCCTCCGGGAACTGCTGACGCCAAGCGTCCGTCAGGCGGCCAAAGCAGCGCTGGGCGGTGTGGGCACCCCCGCACTACTCACCCGCGCGGTCGCCGGTGCGAAGGACGTAGGTGCAGGGACCAAAGCTCCCACCACGCTGACGCTGCGTGTACCACTCACGGAGCTGCTGAGGGGACAGGCCCTCACGACCGCGCTGCTGCTGCTGGCGAGTGGCACCACCGGAGCCACTCCTCTGCGAAGACCCGCGACCAGCTCCACCGCCGCCTCTGCCGCCTCCGCCGCCTCCGCCGCCTCCGCTACCGCTGCCGCCTCCGCCACCACCTCCACCGCCGCCACCGCCTCCACCGCCGCCTCCACCGCCGCCACCGCCGCCACCTCCGCCACCACTGCCGCCACTGACCCCTCCACCCCCACCTCCACCCCCACCGCCACCCCCACTCCCCCCACTGCCGCCACCTCCACCTCCATCGCCCCCGCTCGCTCTTCCAGTGCCCTTGCCCCCCTTGCCCTTGCCAGGGCGGCGTCTCCCGCTAGGGGGAGATGTCGCACCGACCGACTCAAGACCAAGGAGGTCGGCCGCAGCAGCAGAGGCAACAGAGGGCAGAAGGGGGGAAGGGGAACACCCCTCAAAGATGGGGGTGCGCGGGTCACCACGAGAGGCCCTTACAGCGACAATGCCCTTCTCGGCCGCTAGTAGGGATTTCTCGAGGAGGTCGACAGTGAGAGTGGTGGGACAGACTGAGAGGAAGTGGTCCCTGACTACGCGAAGGGAGTCAGGGAGACGAGTGACTATGTAGTAGAGGGTGATGTACATGGGGGGGGGTTCTTGGCGCAGAAGTCAGCAGGGAGTGCAGCGCGGTAGCGAGTGTCACTAGTGCGGAGGTGCGTAATGAGGTCAGCGACAGTGGGAAAAGCAGCAAGGTCAGGGAAGAGGGATGGTAGCATGAGACGGCTCAGTGCAGCAGTGGCAGGGGAGGAGTAGCGCGCAACTACAGCGTCGTACAAGGTCTGAGCACTCTTGTACTGACTAAAGTGCGCACGCTCAGAGGTAGGGAGGTGGCGACGCACAGCAATACGTGCAGCACCGTCGCGCGTGGCCCACTAGGAGCGAACAGTGGCGTCAGCATCAGCAGCAGGGGCAGGGGCAGTGCCAGAGGTGAGGTCAAAGAGAGAGAGACTGTCTGCCCTATCGCACTGTAAGAATAGCTGCAGGTCATCTAGCCAGACCTCAAAGTCAATGGCCCCACCCTCAGCTTCAAAGGCGAGGACACTAGGAGTAGCCATGACCCTAGACGACCAGTGGTGCAAGCAGTAGGGTGGGGGGCAGTGCAGTGACAGAAGTAGCTGTGCTCACCGGACTGTGTAGGCCGGGCGGCTCGGAAGAAGGGGCGGCTCGAACACTCGGCGACTCGGCTGCTGGGCTGCTCGGCGGCTCGGCTGCTGGGCTGCTCGGTGGCTCGGCTGCGGCTCGGCTGCTCAGTGGGGAGGCGGCTCGGCGATGCAGCAGGCGACGAGCAGGGACAGGCGGCGTACGAGCGGCGAAGAGCCGGGACACGGGCGGCGACGGGCCGGGGCACGGGCGGCGCACGGGCGGCGTGAGGCCGGGACGGCGGCACGGGGCCGGGACGGTCGGCGTATGGGCGGCGTGGGACCAGGACGGCGGTGCGCGGCCTGGACAGGCGGCGCACGGGCGTCGAGGAGCCGGAACGGGCGGCGCGCAGACGTCTAGGGGCCGGGACGGGTGGTGCACGGGCGTCGAGGGGCTGGGACGAGGTGGCGCACGGGCGTCTAAGGGCCGGGACGGGTGGCGCGTGGGCGTCTAGGGGCCGAGACGGCGGGCGCGCGGGGCGTCTAAGGGCCGGGACGGGCGGGCGCGCGGGCGTCTAGGGGCCGAAACGGCGGGCGCGCGGGCGTCTAGGGGCCGGGACGGGCGGGCGCGCGGGCGTCTAGGGGTCAAGACGGCGGGCGCGCGGGCGTCTAAGGGCCGGGACGGGCAGGCGCAACGGGCGTCTAGGGGCCGGGACGGGCAGGCGCGCGGGCGTCGAGGGGCCGGGACGGCGGGCGCGCGGGCGCGGATAAGGGCTGGGACGGGCGGGCGCGCGGGCGTCTAGAGGCCGAGACCGCGGCGCGCGGGCGTCTAGGGGCCGGGACAGGCGGGCGCGCGGGCGTCTAGGGGCCGAGACGGCGGCGCGCGGGCGTCTAGGGGCCGGGACGGGTGGCGCGCGGGCGTCTAGAGGCCGGGACGGGCGGCGCGCGGGCGTCTAGGGGCCGGGACGGGCGGCGCGCGTGCGTCTAAGGGCCGGGACGGGCGGCTAAAGGGGGGGCCACTAGGGGCCGAAAAAAAAAAAAAAGGAACGAGGGGAGCACAACTCAGGCAGGGGCAGAGTGCGCTCCGAGCAGGAAAGAAAAGGACGGTGGGCCCTAGGAACAGTTCCCACGAGGGAACCTGCTCGATACCATGAGAAAGTTAGAACGAGAATGAATGAACTATGAATGAAGTGAGTACAAATAGGAAACCCTAATTGGGTTGTACCCCCTATGGGATACCCCACTATAGCCTACACAATAGCATAAGCTATAAAGTTCTGACACGTGTAAACCCGCTCTGATTACCAAGTGTGAGGATCTAGATCAGGAAAGAGAAATCTACTGAATGTTTCACGGGGGTACGATGCGAGGCTATATATAGGCTCGACACAAAGGCAGTAGCCCAAGGTATTACTAGTAGGTACCGTGGGTCGCGAAGCGTCCCGAAAATCCGGTGGCAACCGAAAAGCCTAGAATTCGGTGGACTCAACCTAGTTCAGTGCCTATAACTATAATAAATAGAGTGATTCAACGAACCTAGGAAATCAAGCACATGCATGCAATATCAAGCTAAAGCTAAAGCAGAATCAAGCAAGTAAAGTCCAGCAAAGCCGTCGTACTCTCACACGCAGCAACGTGACCCGGCGGAAGAAAAACGCTCGGAACGAGCGCTTCCAACCCCAAACCACGGAAGGATCCGCACATGTGAAGGAAGTGCAGCAGACGCTCTTCATTCACGGGCGTCGATGACCGATGATGCTCGCAACCCTATCACACCCTTGCTGGCTTGGTAAAAGGCCCAGACAAGCGCAGCCACGTGACTCGGCGGAAGAAAAACGCTCGGAACGAGCACTACCACCCCAAAACGCGGAAGGATCCGCACATGTACAGGAAGTGCAGCGGACACTCTTCATTCGCGAGCGCCGATGACGGATGATGCTCGAAACCCTCCCACGCGCTTGTTGGCTTGGTAATAGGACTAGAAAAGTGGAGCCACGTGACCCGGCGGAAGACAAACGCTCGGAACGAGCGCTTCCAGCCCCAAAACGCGTAAGGATCCGCACATGTGCAGGAAATGCAGCGGACGCTCTTCATTCGCGAGCACCGATGACCGATGATGCTCGCAACCCTTCCACGCCCCTGCTGGCTTGGTAATAGGACTAGAAAAAAGGAGCCACGTGACCCGCTGGAAGAAAACCGCTCGGAACGAGCAATTTTGCACACGCTAGGCCCTTGTTCTTGCAATTTTGCACTCGCTAGGCCCTTGTTCTTGCTATTTTGCACACGCTAGGCCCTTGTTCTTGCAATTTTGCACTCGCTAGGCCCTTTGTTCTTGCAATTTTGCATACGCTAGGCCCTTGTTCTTGCAATTTTGCACTCGCTAGGCCCTTGTTCTTGCAATTTTGCACTCGCTAGGCCCTTGTTCTTGCTATTTTGCACACGCTAGGCCCTTGTTCTTGCAATTTTGCACACGCTAGGCCCTTGTTCTTGCAATTTTGCACACGCTAGGCCCTTGTTCTTGCAATTTTGCACACGCTAGGCCGTTGTTCTTGCAATTTTGCACTCGCTAGGCCCTTGTTCTTGCGATTTTGCACATGCTAGGCCCTTGTTCTTGCGATTTTGCACTCGCTAGGCCCTTGTTCTTGCGATTTTGCACACGCTAGGCCTTTGTTCTTGCAATTTTGCACACGCTAGGCCCTTGTTCTTGCAATTTTGCACACGCTAGGCCCTTGTTCTTGCAATTTTGCACACGCTAGGCCCTTGTTCTTGCGATTTTTGCACACGCTAGGCCGTTGTTCTTGCAATTTTGCACTCGCTAGGCCCTTGTTCTTGCGATTTTGCACACGCTAGGCCCTTGTTCTTGCAATTTTGCACTCGCTAGGCCCTTGTTCTTGCGATTTTGCACACGCTAGGCCCTTGTTCTTGCAATTTTGCACACGCTAGGCCCTTGTTCTTGCAATATTGCACTCGCTAGGCCCTTGTTCTTGCAATTTTGCACACGCTAGGCCCTTGTTCTTGCAATTTTGCACACGCTAGGCCCTTGTTCTTGCAATTTTGCACACGCTACGCCCTTGTTCTTGCAATTTTGCACACGCTAGGCCTTTGTTCTTGCAATTTTGCACACACTACGCCCTTGTTCTTGCAATTTTGCACTCGCTAGGCCCTTGTTCTTGCAATTTTGCACACGCTAGGCCCTTGTTCTTGCAATTTTGCACACGCTAGGCCGTTGTTCTTGCAATTTTGCACTCGCTAGGCCCTTGTTCTTGCGATTTTGCACATGCTAGGCCCTTGTTCTTGCGATTTTGCACTCGCTAGGCCCTTGTTCTTGCGATTTTGCACACGCTAGGCCTTTGTTCTTGCAATTTTGCACACGCTAGGCCCTTGTTCTTGCAATTTTGCACACGCTAGGCCCTTGTTCTTGCAATTTTGCACACGCTAGGCCCTTGTTCTTGCGATTTTGCACACGCTAGGCCGTTGTTCTTGCAATTTTGCACTCGCTAGGCCCTTGTTCTTGCGATTTTGCACACGCTAGGCCCTTGTTCTTGCAATTTTGCACTCGCTAGGCCCTTGTTCTTGCGATTTTGCACACGCTAGGCCCTTGTTCTTGCAATTTTGCACACGCTAGGCCCTTGTTCTTGCAATATTGCACTCGCTAGGCCCTTGTTCTTGCAATTTTGCACACGCTAGGCCCTTGTTCTTGCAATTTTGCACACGCTAGGCCCTTGTTCTTGCAATTTTGCACACGCTACGCCCTTGTTCTTGCAATTTTGCACACGCTAGGCCTTTGTTCTTGCAATTTTGCACACACTACGCCCTTGTTCTTGCAATTTTGCACTCGCTAGGCCCTTGTTCTTGCAATTTTGCACACGCTAGGCCCTTGTTCTTGCAATTTTGCACTCGCTAGGCCCTTTGTTCTTGCAATTTTGCATACGCTAGGCCCTTGTTCTTGCAATTTTGCACTCGCTAGGCCCTTGTTCTTGCAATTTTGCACTCGCTAGGCCCTTGTTCTTGCTATTTTGTACACGCTAGGCCCTTGTTCTTGCAATTTTGCACACGCTAGGCCCTTGTTCTTGCAATTTTGCACACGCTAGGCCCTTGTTCTTGCAATTTTGCACACGCTAGGCCGTTGTTCTTGCAATTTTGCACTCGCTAGGCCTTTGTTCTTGCAATTTTGCACACACTACGCCCTTGTTCTTGCAATTTTGGACTCGCTAGGCCCTTGTTCTTGCAATTTTGCACACGCTAGGCCCTTATTCTTGCTATTTTGCACACGCTAGGCCCTTGTTCTTGCAATTTTGCACACGCTAGGCCCTTGTTCTTGCAATTTTGCACACGCTAGGCCCCTGTTCTTGCAATTTTGCACTCGCTAGGCCCTTGTTCTTGCTATTTTACACACGCTAGGCCCTTGTTCTTGCTATTTTGCACACACTACGCCCTTGTTCTTGCAATTTTGCACTCGCTAGGCCCTTGTTCTTGCAATTTTGCACTCGCTAGGCCCTTGTTCTTGCAATTTTGCACTCGCTAGGCCCTTTGTTCTTGCGATTTTGCATACGCTAGGCCCTTGTTCTTGCAATTTTGCACTCGCTAGGCCCTTGTTCTTGCAATTTTGCACACGCTAGGCCCTTATTCTTGCTATTTTGCACACGCTAGACCCTTGTTCTTGCAATTTTGCACACACTACGCCCTTGTTCTTGCAATTTTGCACTCGCTAGGCCCTTGTTCTTGCAATTTTGCACTCGCTAGGCCCTTGTTCTTGCAATTTTGCACTCGCTAGGCCCTTTGTTCTTGCGATTTTGCATACGCTAGGCCCTTGTTCTTGCAATTTTGCACACGCTAGGCCCTTGTTCTTGCAATTTTGCACACGCTAGGCCCTTGTTCTTGCGATTTTGCACACGCTAGGCCGTTGTTCTTGCAATTTTGCACTCGCTAGGCCCTTGTTCTTGCGATTTTGCACACGCTAGGCCCTTGTTCTTGCA